CTGTATTTTCACCCGGAGAAGAGAGAAATGAGAGGAGGAGAGAGATTTTGGGAAATGTTGATGAATGCGTGGGAGTTTTTAATCAAGTGTGAGAGTAATGGTGGTTGGGGATTTAAATGCTAAAGTGGGTAAAAATGTTATGGAGGGAGTAGTGGGTAAATTTGGGGTGCCAGGGGTAAATGTAAATGGGGAGCCTTTAATTGAGCTATGTGTAGAAAGAAATTTGGTAATAAGTAATACATATTTATGAAAAGAGGATAAATAAATTTTACAAGGTATGATGTAGCACGTAATGAAAGTAGTTTATTAGATTATGTATTGGTGGATAAAAAAGGGTTTATGGGTAGGCTCCAGGATGTACATGTTTATAGAGGGGCAACTGATATATCGGATCATTATTTAGTTGTAGCTACAGTTAGAGTAAGAGGTAGATGGGAAAAGAGGAAGGTGGCAACAACAAGTAAGAGGGGGTGAAAGTGTATAAACTAAGGGAGGAAAGTTCGGGTGAGATATAAGCGACTATTGGCAGAAAGGTGGGCTAGTGCAAAGATGAGAGTGGGGGGGTTGAAGAGGGTTGGAATAGTTTTAAAAATGCAGTATTAGAATGTGGGGCAGAAGTTTGTGGTTATAGGAGGGGGTGCAGGAGGAAAGGAGGAGTGATTGGTGGAATGATGAAGTAAAGGGTGTGATAAAAGAGAAAAAGGTAGCTTATGAGAGGTTTTTACAAGCAGAAGTGTTATAAGAAGAGCAGAGTATATGGAGAGTAAAAGAAAGGTAAAGAGAGTGGTGAGAGAGTGCAAAAGGAGAGCAGATGATAGAGTGGGAGAGGCACTCTCAAGAAATTTTAAATGAAAATAAGAAAAAAATTTTGGAGTGAGTTAAACAAGTTAAGAAAGCCTAGGGAAATATGGATTTGTCAGTTTAAAAAAAAGAGTAGGGGAGTTAGTAGATGGGGGGATGGAGGTATTGGGTAGATGGCGAGAATATTTTGAGGAACTTTTAAATGTTAAGGAAGAAACAGAGGCAGTAATTTCATGCACTGGTCAGGGAGGTATACCATCTTTTAGGAGTGAAGAAGAGCAGAATGTAAGTGTGGGGGAGGTACGTGAGGCATTACGTAAAATAAAAGGGGGGTTTAAAGCAGCTGGAACTGATGGGACATGACAGAAATGTTAAAAGCAGGGGGGGATATAGTGTTGGAGTGGTTGGTACTTTTGTTTAATAAATGTATGAAAGAGGGGAAGGTACCTAGGGATTGGCGGAGAGCATGTATAGTCCTTTATATAAAGGGAAAGGGGAAAAAAAGAGACTGTAAAAATTATAGGGGAAAAAAGCTTATTGAGTATACCAGGAAAAGTGTATGGTAGGGTTATAATTGAAAGAATTAGAGGTAAGACAGAATGTAGGATTGCGGATGAGCAAGGAGGTTTCAGAGTGGGTAGGGGATGTGTAGATCAAGTGTTTACATTGAAGCATATATGTGAACAGTATTTAGATAAAGGTAGGGAAGTTTTTATTGCATTTAGGGGTTTAGAAAAGGCATATGATAGAGGGAATTTGAGGAGCAATGTGGCAGATGTTGCAAGTATATGGAATAGGTGGTAAGTTATTAAATGCTGTAAAGAGTTTTTATGAGGATAGTGAGCTCAGTTAGGGTGTGTAGAAGAGAGGGAGACTACTTCCCGGTAAAAGTAGGTCTTAGGACAGGGATGTGTATGTCACCATGGTTGTTTAATATATTTATAGATGGGGTTGTAAAGGAAGTAAATGCTAGGGTGTTTCGGGGAGAGGGGTGGGATTAAATTTTGGGGAATCAAATTCAAAATGGGAATTGACACAGTTACTTTTTGCTGATGATACTGTGCTTATGGGAGATTCTAAAGAAAAATTGCAAAGGTTAGTGATGAGTTTGGGAATGTGTGTAAAGGTAGAAAGTTGAAAGTGAACATAGAAAAGAGTAAGGTGATGAGGGTGTCAAATGATTTAGATAAAGAAAAATTGGATATCAAATTGGGGAGGAGAGTATGGAAGAAGTGAATGTTTTCAGATACTTGGGAGTTGACGTGTCGGCGGATGGATTTATGAAGGATGAGGTTAATCATTAGAATTGATGAGGGAAAAAAGGTGAGTGGTGCTTTGAGGTATATGTGGAGTCAAAAAACGTTATCTATGGAGGCAAAGAAGGGAATGTATGAAAGTATAGTAGTACCAACACTCTTATATGGGTGTGAAGCTTGGGTGGTAAATGCAGTAGCGAGGAGACGGTTGGAGGCAGTGGAGATGTCCTGTTTAAGGGCAATGTGTGGTGTAAATATTTTACAGAAAATTCGGAGTGTGGAAATTAGGAGAAGGTGTGGAGTTAATAAAAGTATTAGTCAGAGGGCAGAAGAGGGGTTGTTGAGGTGGTTTGGTCATTTAGAGAGAATGGATCAAAGTAGAATGACATGGAAAGCATATAAATCTATAGGGGAAGGAAGGCGGGGTAGGGGTCGTCCTCGAAAGGGTTGGAGAGAGGGGTAAAGGGGGTTTTTGTGGGCAAGGGGCTTGGACTTCCAGCAAGCGTGGCGTGAGCGTGTTAGATAGGAGTGAATGGAGACGAATGGTACTTGGGACCTGACGATCTGTTGGAGTGTGAGCAGGGTAATTTTAGTGAAGGGATTCAGGAAACCGGTTATTTTCATATAGTCGGACTTGAGTCCTGGAAATGGGAAGTACAATGCCTGCACTTTAAAGGAGGGGTTTTGGGATATTGGCAGTTTGGAGGATATGTTGTGTATCTTCATATGTGTATGCTTCTAGACTGTTGTATTCTGAGCACCCTCTGCAAAAACAGTGATAATGTGCGAGTGTGGTGAAAGTGTTGAATGATGATGAAAGTATTTTCTTTTTGGGATTTTCTTTCTTTTTTGGGTCACCCTGCCTCGGTGGGAGACGGCCGACTTGTTGAAAAAAAAAAAAAAAAAAAAAAAAAAAAAAAAAAAAAAAAAATATATATATATATATATATATATATATATATTTTATATATATATATATTTTTATATATATATATATATATATATATATATATATATATATATATAATCATTATAATAATTACCTGAAGTGGAAGAAGATGAGGAGGGAAACAGCCAGCGCGATGAGTGAAACAGAGTAGCCGGCGATGTAGATGGTGTTGATCAGTTGACGCATCTGTGAACACATTTCGCCCGACGTTAGAAATGACGCATTGTCGATCAACTTGAAGACGGAGATTCATGGCACAACGTTTCGCACTGCGTAGAGCTCTACACTGAGCGAAACGTTGTCTCGGTAAAAGCCGTTTTCGCAAGGTGTGCGTCTACATTCAGGCTCCGGGTTTAGCGCGTCCTATGACTTATAATAATTGATGATGATAATAATAATTGGCATTAATAAATGATAATAATAATTAATATTTGTAACTGATAACGGAAATAGATGCTAACAATAATTAATACTAGAAGTAACTATTACTAATAATTATTGATACTACTAATAATAACTAATGCTAATAGTATCTGTTACTAATAATAATTGATGCTAATAATAACTGATACTATTAATAATTGATGCTGATTATAATTGATGCTAATAATAATTGACAATAATTGACTCTAATAATAACTGATACTAAAAATAATTCGTTTAATAATAATTATAAAAAAATAATAATAAAAATTGTAAAAAAATAATAATACTAATATTAATATAACAACAACAACAATAATAACAATAATAATAATAATAATAATAATAATAATAATAATAATAATAATAATAATAATAATAATAATAATAATATATTCTTTGCTTTTATCACATAAATGAGACGTCATTTACAAATGACCTAAACTTTGCGGAGGAAATTTCAGACGATGTTTCGGTCCTTCCTTGACCATTATCAAGTCCTGTTCGAGTGTTCTGATTGTTTCTCTTTGTGGTTGTAAGTGTTGTGATTGTCCTGCTTATGACTGTCCTCTGATTATTTTGCTTACCGTTGCAAGTGTGTTTTGATTGCTTTGTTCAAAGTTGTAAGTGCGTCCTGATTGCAAAAATCTTCGTAAATCGAAAGATGATCACTAGCGAATATGGCATCTCTCTCTCTCTCTCTCTCTCTCTCTCTCTCTCTCTCTCTCTCTCTCTCTCTCTCTCTCTCTCTCTCTCTCTCTCCTCTCTCTCTCTCTCTCTCTCTCTCTCAGTATGTATTCACATTTTCTTTAATATTTCCTCCTAGAGGGAAAACTTCGCTAAATGTCACGCAGGAACTTTCAAAATTTCTCCATTAAACAAATACGTTGTCATTAAAGTCGTAACTACGTTGACAAATGGATTTTTTTTCCTCTCAAGTGACGGGGGAAAAAAATCTGTAAGAGTTGTAAAATGGTAAACGAGAAATGTAAAAGAGGGGAGAAGGACGGAACGTGAGCTGAAACACGACGTTCGCGACGTACGACGGTTGTCGGAGCGTCAGTCTCATTAAGGAGAGTGTTTAAATGACAGACTGGTGTGACTTACCTAGATGGTTCCGCCAGATGGTGCACATAAACCTGCTCGCCATGTGTACAAGAACGTAATTACACACACACACACACACACACACACACCACACACACACACACACACACACACACACACACACACACACACACACACACACATAGTAGCACTCAGTGAAGAGGCGGGGCCAGGAGCTGAGTCTCGACCCCTGCAACCACAATTAGGTGAATTAGGTGAGTACACACACACACACACACGTACAAATACACTAACATATACACTTCACTTGTTGTTCCTGTTGAATTTCTACTCTCCTCTCCTTTTTTTTTGCATAAAGGAAATACTAATACTATATTATTATAATTATTATTCTTATTATTTTTCTCTTCTTTCTTTTCCCTCCTCCACCTCCTCATCTTTCTTCTTCTTCTTCTTCTTCTTTGGGAAAAATTCTGAACACATTTAAGCAGCGCCATAGAAGT